GTCTGCAGCAAAAGTTCTGCGGACTCTTCTAAGGTGGCTGTAAAGGTGCTATCTTCTTTCTTTAGGAAACCTAGTTGATGTGTGTGGTCCTTCGAGAGAACTCTCTTCAGCCTTGCGGCCGAAGCAGTCGACGTTATGTCGCTGCAGAAGGATCTCCACGTTTCCCGTTTCCTCTTTCTTAATTCTTTCTTAAACTCTTTCCGGTGCTCTTTATAGGCTTCCCAGTCTTCAGTTTTTTGCTCTATTGAAAAGTTTTCTTAGCCCCGATTGAAGTAGGCTGAGCCTTCGGTTCCACCATGGTGTACCTTTGGCCAGACCTTCCTTCTTTAGGGGGCAACTTTTCTCATACGCTGACATTAGAGAGTCGTTGATAATGGTCAAGGTTTTCTCTATGTCTTCTGTCGAACTGTATTCTGTTGGTATAGACTGCACGGAGGTCCCCAGTCTGTCGTCCAGTTCTTCGTTGTATAAAGCCCAGTTCGTCAGCCTAGGGTTCCTGTACGTCTTTATCTCCATGTCTATACATTTTGATGTATACATGATCCATCTGTGGTCTGACACTGACGCCTCTTTAGAGACGTGCCATCCCATTATATATTGTGAGATATCCCATGTAGCCAGTGTAATATCTATTACTGACTGACTACGTGATGTTACGAAAGTTGGTTCGCAGCCTCGGTTGAGAATCTCTAGATTTGTTGATAAAAGATATTCAGCTAGTGTTCTTCCTCTATCATTAGTGTCTTTGCTCCCCCACAACAGACAGTGGGCATTCGCATCGGCACCGATGATGAGGTTTATATTTCCGGTATCACAGTGTTCCACCAAGTTCGCCATTTCCCATGTTGGACATGGTTCCTGTGCTCCCTGTGGTAAGTACACGGATGCTATTACCAGTTGCTCTTCGCCTCTTCCTATGTTACACTTAACATTTACCGCAGTCACATCCCTGGAGCTGACCTGAGGTAGGAGGACGGCTTTAATTTTCCTCGGAATGTAGACGCATGTCCTTGGAGATTCTATTGTGGTACCTGAAACAACAGTGCCATTTAAATTGCTCAACCCTGCGATCCTGGATTTTACAATCCATGGTTCTTGGATTATTGCTATAGTGTTCTGCATCTTGTCTAGACGACGACACAAAACAGTCGTCGCCATGCGACAATGCTGCAGGTTAATCTGAATGAAATTTATCTGCTGCAGCGCCATCTCTGCAACCAAAAATCCCATAATTGTCCTAGGAGACACGAGGCACATGTCTCAGGCGGGCCCGCGCCCACTGGTAGAGGCTTCATCCCCTGGGGTTTCTACCTCTTCCATAGGGGTCCGCCCTTCCTTAGCCGACGCCTCGTTCTCCTTGAGTTTCAGGTTGAAAGAGGACAGCATATAATTGATTCTGCCCTCTCTCTCCCTGATTATCTTGGCCTCTTCCATCCCAAGACCAAACACAAAGAGGTTGCCTGGAGAGGCAGCCTCGGGTTTGGCCTCGCGATGGAAAAGAAGCCATTTTTTGACGTTGGCCCATTGGTTCTGACCCTCCAGGCGGCGAAGTACGACTCCTGCGTCCACCGGTGGTCCCGGTATCCACAGGGTCGCCCTCACCAGCCTTGGTAGGTCAGCCAAGGGGACCACGTTAAGTTGTGCGCCCTCCCACAAGGGTGTTAGGGAGCGCACTGTTTGTTGTAGCCATTTCAGGGACAACTCGTCTTCACAGGTTATCCTTAGGATTTCCCCTGTGTACTTCATGCCCCTGAAAGTGGCTGCTTGTCTATCCGATGCCAAGCACTGGTCAAGTTGCTTGTCCAGCGCTCCCATCAGGCTCTTTTGTACTATCTCCACCTGGTCAGCAGTCAGCTTACCAAGTGGATGCTGCACATCAATCACAGCTACACGGAGATGACTTGCAGCCGCCTCCCTGTAGCTCTGTTCTCTAGAGGTAGTCTCCTGCCTCCTCATCCTCTTTTGCTTTTCAGCTGCCGGAGGTGTGGAGGTTGAAGACCTCACTCTCTTCTTGGACCCTGAGGTCTTTTTCCCCGCGGGTTGTTTAGGGTTGGCTATCGTAGCCTGCCCTTTACCCTTGGGGTTTATCCCGGAGGAGGATGGACCCGGTTTCGGCGGGTCGGTATTCGCCGCCTCCGCCTGCAAACGAGCCTTCCTCCGCCTTTTTACCTCAGCCCCGCAGATTCGCTTCCTCCTAGGAGGCTGCGACCCCACATTGGCCGGGTTTTCTGTTTGAGGTGCACCCGAAGGCACTTCCTCAGTGGTTTTTTTATTATTATTATTTTCCATGATCTGGATTTTGATTTCGTCCTCCTGCGTCCCCACCCACCACGGAGTCCAACAAGGGGACGTCGAACTTCGACGTCAGGGCTAGCAGAAGGATATAGCCCCCAGGGAAGCTCATCCTGCAGTACGCAGCCTCAACTAGTGAGGTTACTCGTGCTCAGACTACACTTCCCCCAAGGACTCACCCTGTCGGCGGTCTGACCCGACGACACAGCCGATTGATCTGAGATGGGTTAGTCTCGACCTCCCGTTTTGGTGGAAATCCAGGCCAAAGAGGCGTGTTGCCCAGCCTTGATGACACACTGCACCAAGGGGGGCTCAACCTCCAGGATTCCTTCATCCCACCTTACGGGTCTCCACGCACGGCACAAACACGCGGGAGCTTGTCCGCGGGGCTGTTTTGACGACCCCACACCAGGGGTTTAATCCCGGGGGGGCACGTTTATTTCCAGCCCTCCTCTACTGAACCGCCTTCGCGGCCGTCTAAGCCGACAACCACCAAGGCATGTCCAGGCAAGACGAGCCTCAGCCCTAACCTACATATCTGGAGAAGGGAAAAATCCAGGTCGGACTTCCACCACCCCCAGGAGTGTTTAGTTCCGGGGGGCATATCCGCCCTTCCCAGACCTCCCTTCCCCAGACAATGCCGGTCTCCCCCTATCCGCAACCCTGGGGACGCGCCTGATAGGTAACTCAACCCACAGGCAACCGTTATGTATTTCCATGAAATGTAGCTAGCAATTTTTAACAATTAAGGGCACATTTTTCAAGGAAGATATATCGGTTTTTGGATTTATTTAATACCAGATTATGTGTGGCAAATCACTAAAAAATACCACACTTTCATTCATTTATAGTATTTGCACTTAAGATAATTCTTAACCATGCAAAAGCCAATGATGTTCCATTCTTGATCTTTTAAATTAAAAACTGTTTTATGCGAAACAAAAATATTACTTGGTGTTGTACATGTGAATACAAGATTAGCTATGTATAAGCTTCAATTTAAAATAACGTGATTGCCATTTTAAAACACAAGAGTTAATTTCGTTAACATTTATACGCTCTCATATTTAGATAGTCATATGCTTAAAACGTCGAAACGTTAGAAAAATATAGTTAAACTTTAAGCATAAAACAAGGTCAGCTTTCATCCAGTTCTCAATATATTTTAACGAGCACTTTACTAAATGAGTTTTTGGCACCTTATAATGAAAATTAAGAGTCATCGGGGTAATTATAGAATTAGTAGGTAATTATAGAATTAGTAGTAAGAAATGATGAACCAAAAAATTAAACTCAAGTAAATCTATTTAGATACATCACATCCAAGTTTTATTTAAAAGGAACTTGGTCTCAGAACTTGTTCCTGCACCGTCAAGCTTTTATATTTACAACCTACGGTAACACTATATATAACCATTATCCCCACAACACCGAAAACACAAAAGAGACGCTTGATGATGCGTTTAGCCAACCACGGTGGCATTATTTAGACAAACCTAAACTTAAACTCAATTTAGATTTGTTGCGTTCACGTAGTATTTATTATAATGCACCGGGTGATCAATTAGCTTCCACAACATATGTAAATAGCACTCTTGCATATTTAATGAACAGATATTCTTAAAAATAAGATCGTTTCATGAATATCATAATATCAGAATATCAAGCCTTAAAATTTTATTTTTAGAAATTCACAAAAGACGATCCTGACAGAAATAATTGAAACAACAACAGCGTTTTGTCCTCTTTTCACGAGGACGTTGTTTACATGACACCGAAAAGTGCGTAATTTTTGTAAGCATCATAATTCAGAACAAGATTCCCTTTGAGGATTCATAGTATAAAGTGTAAATTATAATTAATTATTATTAAACCAACAACCCCTTAAGCGTTTTTACATGTCTTGAAATTAAAACTTATTTTACTTGTACTAATTTTCGAATTTCAGACTTTCATCAGTGTCTTTTATTATGTGCAGATTGCAAACGTTATTTCAAATGAAATACGATCTTTATGAAGGAGTAACGTTAGTCTTTTTTTACATCCTGAGGAAACGATGTATAATAGGGTATTCCACGATTTTTTTTTTAATGCACCACACGAAAGAATATCGTCTACAAAATGCGAAGATGTGGTCAATATTTTTTTTTTACTTTTCAATAACTCAAAAAAAAAAAGTTAAATTTAAAGTGATTTTTTCCCGCGGTTAAGTTGTGCATTACGTACGTCATGATGACGTACGTAACGCTGACCAATGGGATCAGCGTAGCGATGTGGCAACTCCGCTCACGCTGCTTTAAAGTTAGACGACATCGGTATTTAGCCATCTTGAATTCTTGTTGGGTTATGATAGGTTAGGTTTATTTATGTTTGGTCGATCTTAGTGTTAACGTTTTGTAATTTGCTCTCATTGAAGCTTAAAATTATTTAAAAAGTCAGTCGTTTCCATTATTTGACATTGTTTGTTTAAACACGGTGAGTAGAATTGGCCGTTTAATATTTACCACTTACCAAAACCTTTTACAGCGACTTACAACTTAAAATTGTGTAGGAAGATTATCTGGGAAAATACGGCACAGAATAAATAGTCACAATGGAAAGTGAATATGAGCAAGCTACTTCTACCAATCTCCCTGTAGTTGATGATGTAATGATAGATTTGTATTATCGAAGAAATGTGAATTTTCTGATACCAGGTGTTGAAATGTGAAAACCGAACGGTAAAGTGTACAACGTAATAATGATTTGATAGTAATTATTCATTGTTATAGTGGAGCTCGTGCAACTTACGGCGACGATGCTGTTGGTTATGTGCAGTTGAGACGACACGATGAGATTTGTACTGTCAAAGCTTTGATTGCACCAGAACATAAAGTTCGCCTAAAAGGCTATGAAGTTTCAGTAAGAATAAATGAGTCTGAACAATGCATAATTGACTCAAAGTGTTATGACTGTGCTGCAAGTGAAGGTATGAATGATTTTATGTTGTATGAGTGTATGTATTATGTCTACTTTTCAGGTGGTTGTAAACATGGTGTAGCCTTACTGTTCTGGTTATACAGACGTACCTTGGAGCCTTCAGTGACTTCTGTTGAATGTTATTGGAGGAAGTCTACTCTGTCTAAAGTTGGCAGTACTATAAAAGGGCAAAGAATGAGAGAGTTGTTTAATTTTCGGCAAGTTCCTTCTTTACCAACAAAAGGAACGGCATTTTTGGACAAAGTAATTTCTACCGCATTAAAATCAGATAGTCATTCAATTCTTGCTACGATGTATAAGAGTGAAGTGAATATTTTGGAGAAAGCTTCGTTGTACCATTTATGTCTTTCTTATAAAAAAACGACTGATGCACCAAATGCAGAAGACTTCATATCGTTTTGCCAAAATAATTTAAATAGTGAAATTTGCAAAAGTATAAATACTTTAACAATATTGCAGTCACAATCTAAAGCCTGGTTTGATGTTAGATATGCGAGAATAACAGCTTCAAAACTGCATGAAGTTGCTCACTGCAAAACTGTTGATGGAGCTACAACTGCTGCAGTTCTGGCAGCATCAAAATTTAGAGGAACAAAGGCCATGAAAAGAGGCCTTAACCTTGAAGAAGATGTCTTAAAAGTCATAGCTGAGGAGAAAAATATTAAATTAGAAAGAGTAGGAATGACCATAAATCATATGTACCCAATATTTGGTGCATCGGCAGATGCAATGTCTGATAAATATTGCGTTGAAATAAAATGTCCAATAAAGACAAATACTGTAAAAATAGTACATTATGGAACTAGTGGATGAAGTTGAATTTCAACGGCGAGAGTGATTTTTTCACACGAGCGAGTGCAACGAGCGAGTGCGAAAAAGAAACTCGAGCCGTTGAAATTTCTTCATCCGCGAGTTGCATATACTATTTTTTCTAAGAAATTAGGAAATAAATGTTTGTTTATGGTAGGTATTTTATTTTTGAAATACATTAACTGTAATAGAACAATTTGTGCAATTATCACCAATAATATTTACACTTTTATCGTAAGTATTATTTGAACTTGTATCTTTGTTTAAACTTAGTTGGCTGCTTCCTGTATCAATAACTGCACTTGTATCAGATTCGAAAATGCCGCATTGGCAGCATTCAAAATTTCTTCAGAAACTTCGTCAGTCTCACTCATGTTCATTGTTTTCACTTGTGTAAACTAGCAGTATTAAACGTCAAACACTAACGGGTCGTCCAGCCTAGGCGTCATGATTTTCGAAGCGCGCGAAGCGGACGGTGCGGTCGGTGCAGGCGATACGCGACACGTTTCGCTAGCTGCGAAACGCTCAGGCTGGACGACCCGTTAAAATCGTAGACGGCCGAGTATTTTTCCACTAGAGGGTGAAATGAAATTTCATCCACTGCCAGCGATGGGAAAATGACAAACTTCAACCTTAATGAGTAGAAAAATTACATTACGCCAGAGGGTGAAATAACTCCTAAACCATATGCACAACTGCAGCTGCAAATGTTTCTTAGTAAAAAACAATGGGGTTTATTTTGTGTTGCATCTCCATCTTTTGAAACGGACAGAAATGTGACTATAAAGGAAATTCCTTTGGATGAAAATTTTTGTCACAATGTAATGGAGCAGGCACAAGCTTTTTGGAAAAAAGCGATTTTTCCAATTTTAATTAACTGATGTTTTCAATAATTATACTTATTTATTTCATAATTATTTCTTATTCATTTCAATAATAAATAAATCTAAATCCCGTTATACCCCAATCCCCTAGTATCAATAAAAAAAAGTTAAATGCTTCTATTTATACAATTAATTTATTGTTTCCAATAAAATACAAATAAAAACCATGTAAAAACTATTGTATTAATGGACCTTGCAAATTTATCAAACCACAAGCAACAATTACAATATGATCCAAAAGTGGCACCAAATTATGATCTGTGGTAGCATGTGGACCCAACATTCGAAATTCTCTGATCCTACGAATTAATCTTTCAATGTGGATCCTCAACGCTGCGACAAGTTTTGACTGACGTACCTCATCCTTCGTCATTTTTCTGGTGCTTGTGACGCTGGGAGGTCTAACTAGATTCACCTTTTTTTTCTGGAAAAGCCCTGCTACTTGCTTGAAGCCCCTATCAGTCATTACAGTTGCATTTTCAGGTACAACGGTCAAATACCCTGATTGCTTAATTATTTCTACATCTGATGTGCGACCTCCAAACCCTTCTGATATAAAATTAATTAGCCCATTTGGAGTACTTGACACTAAATACTTGCATGTGTTACAAGTTTTATAATTGCTCCAGGTTAAAGCTTGCTGGTAAGCTGCACTAGGTCTTTCAACCTGTATTTCGAAGCAATCAATGATTGCTTCAACATTTTTATAATACGTCTGAAACTGCCTAGGTAGAACTCGCTGAATTTTACTTTTCTCAGGCCAAAAAATTAACTCGTTGAGTTTTGTAGCCATTTTTGGCAATGTTTTTGAAAATATATTACTGACACCACTAGTGCTTAATGCAAAATCTGTCCCTAATCGTACAAATTGGTCATCTGTTCGTATTTTCTTAAGAACGATATAAATATGTTCTACAGGAACTTCTAATTCTTCCTGGAGTAATTTGATGAAAAAAAATTCTGACTTGGGCAAGCCCAGATAAAATCTGCTATTATTTTCAATTTTGAATATTTCCACTTTCACCAATAGTTCTTTGGATATCATCATATTAGTTTCATGCAATGACTCCGATGATGGCTCATAAACACTTCCACTTTGGAGTGAAAGGGAGGATGATGACAATGATGTTGATGATCCCTGAATAGGTTTGTGGGGGCTTTGATATATTTGTGACGATAATGATCGAAGAGTGTTTGTGCTTTTATCTGCCACTTCAACTGAGGTCATTGATGACTGATCTTTTGTGCTAACTCTTGTCTGAGTTGCTTTTCTAAGAGTTCTCCTTTTTGTTCTTAAAGGAGAAACTGATTTTTCTGGCGATTTTGCACTAACAAACATGCCAGATGGTGAAGCCACTGTTTTTAATTGCAGGTCTTCTACATCCTCTGTTACATCCTGTGAAGTACCAGGTACAGTAGGTTCAGGAAACAGTTTCCTTCGAAGCCCTCTACTGTGCTGTTGTGTTTCTATCTTACATTTCCTTGAAGTTGGTGTGAATTGGGACGAAGTTTCTTTCCTCACTATGCTTCTTGGAACCACATTGTCTTTTAACATTAGGCGTGTACCCATTAATTTGAAATGAATCCAATTTTCAGCATCCTTTTCCAACTTTATTAAAGAAAATTTGTTAATAAGGTGATACAAGTAGATACCAACATACAAATTTTTGAAATATTTACTATACTTACATCAAAATGATCTTCACAACAGTACAAACTTTTCCCAGGTATGTATGTTCTTCCCACAGCTTCAAACCATAACTTCCTCCGATCCACTTTTTGGGGAACAGTAAGAAATAATTTTTCTGGATTATTTGTAAAGTTATTATCACACCCAACGAAGAAACACTGTTTCGCCATCGTGCCAATTTTTTCTATTTAATTTGTTTATATTTAAGGAATAAAACGAACAGGCCAAGTTGATCAAAAACACGTGCACACTCTGACCTACCTCAATATAATAAACCAGCAGGTTTGGCAACACAGCATCGCTGCCATCGCTTCAAAGTGATTGGTTACACTTTTAACCGCGAAATACTGCAACTTTGAGTCGGTCTCTCACTCTTCTATTATTTTGACAATTTTTTTCAAAGCGATTATTTTTTATAAATAGTTCAAATTTGTTTTTTGTACATGTATTTAGATATTGTTTCAGAATGTTTAGTTAAAATTTGATTTTAAACTTTGGTGGAAAACCCTATTTTATACTCCCTCCGTCTGAAAATATGGTATACATTTGTGAATTTTATTTAATAATACTATTATAACGACAATATATTTCAATTTATATGTAATGGGACTTTATTTAGAGCTTCTGGAGAACATACTATTCTCGTTGGTAACCTTCCCTCACGATGAAGTTTAGATTTATTAATTAATAATTTATACTTAAAATTAAATAAATAAATAAATAAATAAATTAGATTATTATAATCTATTATTATTATTAAGACCCACCACTGACCCGGAAATGACCGGCATTCAGGCAAGACTTCTATCATTACGGGTACTAAGACCAAGTAATGATATGCATTATTTATTATAATAAATAATTTATTTAATTTAATTATTCTTTCTAAAATTTCTTATTCTTTAAATTCAGCGGGTGTCAATTTATTTTGTTGTTATTGTAGTAATTTTCTTGGTCATTTTTTTAACAGAAACGAAAGTAGATCTCAGTCCACTATTTATAAGATGTTCTATTAAGTATACAAGTTGCAAACCAAATTACTTGAGTATAATTTGCTGGTCATCACTCGTTAATTACAATAATTTTGTAAAAAAGGGAGTAGTAAATATTATGAAGCAAACTTACAACATAAAGGTTACCATTTTGTAAACAGTATGATCAACAATGTGATCGAGAAGAAGCTGTTCTAGTAGGCCGTGCAATTTATTTTTAAAATAATGGTGCTCACATTGCAGCTTTGTGACCCTTCATTTGACAATTACTTGACTCTAGCTGTGAACCTGAACAAGGAGTGCGGTGTTGTCAACATCATTATTTTGAAAATAAATTGCACGGCCTACTAGAGGAGTTTTTTCGATCATATGGTAGAAACACGAAGAAAGTAAGCTGCTACACAAAATTATTTGCATGTTCTAAGTACCTACTTTATGTTATGTTTGGTACTGGCAAAAGCTTTTGTTTTTAACTTCATACTTAACAATTTGTCCTATGTTTAAGTTTATGTACCTGTATTATCTATTCCATCACCTCAATCTTTGGAAAGCACTAAATAATAATAATTAATTAATAAAGTATGTTCTTTAAAATAACAGTGAATTATGACAACGGCCCAATTTATGAAATTGAATTAATTGATTCATGAAATGCAAAAATACTTGGAGCTAGTTGAAGAGAAAATATGACATATTTGATTTTCAAAATTTCTGAACATTTTAAATAACCAACGAAATGTTTAAACAGAAAATACTACGCTGGTTATCAAGACGCTTGATTTGTTTGTCGTGATATTCTTTTTTTATGTGAAATCTACATTAAACAATAGGGGAAGAGGGCCCAAAGCGGGCACCATAAGGAAAAATATTAAAAAAAGTAGTTTATGGATAATCTAGATCCTTTAAATTTTTATATTATAATGCTTGATTTAACCCTTTTCAATGATGCATAACTAAAATTGAAGAAAGTTTATTAAAAAAAAAGTTAGAAGCAGATAACTAAATCTTTGCAACTGCCCGCTTTGCCCTACGGGGAGGCCTAAAGCGGGCATTCAGCTAGGGCAAACCTGGCAATGGTTAAGGTTAGCGTCTGGTTCGGTTTCGCTCTATACTAAATAAATTGAAAACATTGTCGGGGTTTCCGGAATTGCATTTTAAAAATACTAAAGTCTGCAACCAAACCAGAAGTTAAGTAAGCTCATTTTAATAGATTTTGACTTTTCGAGAGTTATTTACCTCAGTCATGGATTTTTTTAGGATTATAAATGGTATCAAAAGAAAGCTGACACTTTTCCCCAGAGGACCTTCTATCTCAAAATGCAGACCTCTTCAGCACTTCGTCAAAAAATGCATCAATGTGCCGATTAAAGTGTGATGTAAAAGTTGCTCAACTTTATGTTTTGTTTTTTTGTAAAAACTGTAGACTAGATATGAATATAAATATGAAGGTCCCCTGGACTGAAGTTTGGTAATTCGAAATACAATTTTTTTAAAGCGATATATCTCGTATTTTTCTTTTTGGTTTTTTCACTTCTTAGACTTCGTTTTATCTTCAGCAAGTTCTTCTTTTATAATTTGTTTTACAGACTCCACATTGCCTTTGTTCTTCTTTTCGAAACAACTATAGATATTTAGTAAATACACTAATACCGGACAAGTGCCCGCTTTGCCCTGCCCGCTTTGCCCATTTCGACAATTAAAATTGCAAACAACATCTAAACTCAAAATGATGCGACAAGTGGCAGTTAACTGCTACCTTATGGTAGCCGAATAAACACACATTGACTAACGAATTTCATTTTTAGCTTAAAAATCACAAACATAGAAAAAACAGATGTGACACACTTTGCAATATTTTTCAAAACCATGTGAAAATTATTTATTTATTACAGCACATAATTGGGTACTCGCAGGAGACCCGGGCGACTGATGTGAAGTATGCGGGGGGGGGATGCACTATGTCCGCGCGGTTAGGGCGCACCATCTTTTGAAACGCCAAAACTAAAGAGAGTGCCCGCTTTAGGCTCTATGCCCGCTTTAGGCCCCCTTCCCCTAAGTAAAATTTAATTAACCCCCAAGTAGTTAATGGCATCTGTTCCAAGCTATCTTATTCATTTCTCTTGGGTAAAATTTAGAACAATGGTAAATACATGCTGGGATCTATGTTTGAGAAGAACAAATTAAATGGAGTTCAGGGTTTCAGTTGAGTTAATTATCAGATCGTTGCTTATCTAACTTCTTACTCAAGTTTAAACAGTGTACAGCCGACTTAGCTATTTATTGGAACGTATCTTACCAAGGCAAATGCGCTTGTCTCTCATCTATTATGCACCGAAAGCCAGATATTACCCCGAAAAAATCAAATTACGTCACGTATGTACAGCAAAGTAAAATATTCATACCCAGACGGAATGAATCCAGCTGGAAAAAACCGATAAACGAATCCCGATCAAATCGCACTGAAATAGTCTGATGCAAGAGACTGGAAGTAATCCACTTCTATCAAAAATATTAAAAACTAAACCGCGTTATTAATTTAGTGGTTACAGGGTTGCGCTAATCTGTTTCACTGGATAATTCCACGAAGGGAATGTTGATAATTTGCATTGAGTTAAACCAAGTTTTGCGAAACACGTATCATCAGTATAGTACCCTGGATGCAATGGCAATTATTGCAGATGCGATTGCTGTTGCTCTATAGTGACCATTTGTTTGTGGTATTACAACGTTAAATCTCCTCCATTACCGAACAATTTTCTTTTTATTACCGATGGAGAGCGTTCGATGAAATACGGGATTTTCATTATTCGGATCCCCTTGGGGAATTTATGGAGGTGAGGGTGTCTGGAATCATCCCGCAATCCGCAGACTGGTTTTATATATTATTATAGTTTAGAGCCTGCAGCTAAAGTAAATAAAACAGCTCTTGTTTCCTTTCATATGAGGATAATATAAGGGTGCATTTTAATGTCGCCGCTTACTCTGCGGATTTTCGACAGGGAGAGTAAGCCCAAAAATGGCTGACGTTAGAAACAAACAAACGTAAAGGCGCAATACCATAAATCGTGCCTTATCTCCGACAATTTTGACTCTTTCATTGCCCGTTAAAATTAAATTAACTACAGTGCCGGGCATCGACTATAAAAATTTTACTTTCGATAACAACCTGATGATTTCCATGTATCAATTGCTGCAGAGTCAAGCGGTCGAAATCATTAAATCCACGGTCAAAGTATACATAATGAAAGTACCTGCGGGGGAGGATTTTTATTCCTCCAAAAGGTCGGCAGACAGACACGTGAGAAAACAGTGTTTTAAAACCTTCACTCACACGTGTGGTTACGTGGAAGCGACAACTTGTCCATGTCATATGCTAGCTAATAAATAAAATCATGGCTTTTTCAAATGTGAAAGGGTGGCATAGTAAAGATCACAATCTGCATGTTAATTTTTCGTTGGTAAAATAAATTTTCCAAGATTAGATTTTAGTGTTCGCTACAGGTCCTAATGATTGTAAATATATTCCTTGGGGGCTGAAAAAAGTCA